TGATAAATTACAGAAAAGCTTTTCATAGTTCAATCAAATACTCCTAGACTCACACAGTACATATGCTGATGAATAAAACTCTACCTTCCCAGGTACTCACCATATTGCTTACTAAAGCATATTTCACATTTGCAATCATATCAAAATCATTTTAAATTCAAATTTAATTGTGCAAAAAGTTTACCTAAGGACATGAGGTACCTAGATACTCTTTTGGATGTCATCATAACAAAAGCAGGGGAGTGGTGTGGCTCTGTAGGATAAACACTGGACGCAAACCACCTGGTCCATAGGTCATGCCCACCAGTCATTCTGCAGGAAAAAGATGAGGCTTTCTGCTCCAGAAAAGATATAAGCCTAGGAAACCCTACATAGGGTTACCATGAGTTGGAGCCAACTCAAGGACACTTAACAACAACAACAACAACAGTTGTTAACTTCTGACTATGTTAATGAAAATGACTACATCTACACAGGTGAAGAAAGCAAACTTTTACTGCTCTCATTTTCTACGAGAAAATCATTTTTATTTTCCTTTGAATGAAACAGAACTCAGTCACAAGACATAATAAAAAAAATACTAATAATGTTTCAGCCATTTAAAACGTTATACCACTAAGAAATGTAATCTATGACTATCTAATTTCCATAAATCACTATTACAGCCACAGTGAGGTTACAGTTAAAAGGGTTTTCATTATCTTAATAGGATGGTGGTTACGTGCTGTGGAGTCAGTTCTGACTCATAGTGACCCCATATAGAGTTTCCAAGGCTATAAATATTTTTCTTTCTTTCTTTCTTTTGTATGTTAATTATACTTTATTAAAGATACTAAAATGAATTCTTCTTGCTTTCTATTTTTTAATTCCTTATTTTTTGAAGTTTATTTACCACACAGATACTTGATCAATCTATTCCAATCATTTTCTTCAGTTGGAAGATGTTTGTTATCTTCCTTTTATTGAGGTAACTTCTTAGGAGGCTAATTCTTTTGGTCTATAAGCTCATGTTCTCCTGGGCTCAGGTACTCTGTGAGGTGGTGATTAAGGGATAGATTGAGGACTAGCCTCTAGTTTGTATCAGTGGGTTTAAGGGGAAAGGGGACTAGCCCAAGGATCCATAGAATTTGGTTTAATAGTACCTTTCCAGTTGGTATGAATCCTCTGGTCAAGAATTTACCTTTATTTGTAGAAAGAAGCAACATAGAAAGAAGGCAGTCTGTCTGGGTTGTAATCTCTAGCTCTATTTTCAATTACACTTTTTCCTCATTAGGACTTCAAGCTTTTGTAAAATGCTGGCCCGTGTGGCCAGACTGTGCTGCTGGTTTCTGATGTGAACTTGTTGGCAATGATCATCTCAAAATAATGCCTGGGTGAGGCAGCAAGAGAATTTGAAGGCTTTCTCCTAGCCTTTGCTCTCTGTGCCCCCATCACTGGCCCTTCATCCGGTCTGTACGTATGTATCTCCCTCCATTCTTCTTCCTTGCTCTCTGCTCCACGTACATACAACAGTTCCAAGGTTGTAAATCTTAATGGGACATCAAGGATCTAGCCTATCCCCTTGGTATACAGAGTTGATAGGAACAGGCAACTTAAACACTGGCTACCTAAAATGGGGGTAGGGGGCTATAAGGGCACAAAGTTACTGGCTTACAATTTTTCAGGAGCGAGTTTACTTTCAGAATGTGTGGGGGAAGGTAGAATCCCCACTGAATAGTTTTCATCTAGTCTAGACTGGTCTGGTGAAAAGAGATGGGGATAAGAATCTTATGATTCAATAGTGAGTAATTATTATCATGACTAATTGCGACTGTCACAACTGTAAAGGTAGAACTTTTGTAACAAAAAGGGGGGAGTCGTTAATCTCACAGTCCAGAAACAGAGGACCCTAGACCATCAAGGAAGTAGAGCATGAGAGGAATGTGGGACCCCATCCAGAGAAGCAGCAACACCAGAGATGGAGGCAGAGATGATGACATGGAGAGAGAGAGCAGCTGAGAATCTCCAGATCATGTAAAGAGAAAAGCTGTGTGCTGGTGGCCAGGAGGCATGCTTGCAGAATGTGTCCCCTGGTTGTTTTTATGATTATATATTCCTGAGTGTTTTTTTGTACATCAAAAAAGCAAAACAAAACAAAACAAAAAAATCAGAAGGAATAGAAGGAAATACTGTTGAATGATGATGCATGGAGGGGGACTGTAATCATTGCGATGATACTAAATACGACAGGATGAATGTAAAACTGATGTTCTCCCATGTAAACTATGACTCAATTCACAATAAAGGCTTAAAAAAAAAATCTTGACAGGAGAAGAAAGCCTCATCTTTCTTCCCCGGAACAGGTGGTAGTTTCAAACTGCTGAACTTGAGACTAGCAGCCCGACTATTAACCACTCCGCTACTATACTAGTTGATTTTCTACACTTTAATACAGACAAAACTGCCTTCTGAGCCACTTTCCACTGCTACATGACCTGCATTAATCAAAAAGGTGTGGCTACTGGCAGACTTGCTAAGGGCCATGGAGTTAGTTCAAACTCATAGTGACCCTATATAGGGTCAAGCCTGTAATTCTTTGCAAGAGCAGAAAGCCTCATCTTTCTCCCACGGAGTGGTTGGTTGACTAGAATCACTGACCTGTGGTTCTCAGTACCATGTTTACTCTATAGAGTCACCATGCTCCTTTGCAGGGAAACTAGACATTCTCTTTTTCTGGGAATTAGCTCACAGAAAACCACAAGGAAGAGTGATTATTAAGAATCTAGGATAAATATGAAAATTATAAATGACAATATAAAAGTATTTACAGTCGAAAGAAGCTCAAAAACTCCCACCACCCTCTCACTTTAAAAAGCAAAGATCAGTAAAGTCAAGAAATCTGTCAAAGAAAACAGCAAGTCAATGCTTAACCCCATTGCACTACCTTACAATTGTACTTCCTTACAATTAGCTAGGTCTTGGAAATACAAAGATAAACAGGGTAAGAGTCCAGCTCTTAAGTAGCTCACATGGACCAAGAGAAAAGAAAACAGAAATGATCTAAACATCATTTCTCTAAGTAGCGTGGGGACCGAAAGGAAGATCCAGGCAATTCTTTTGGTTTTAACACTGAATATATGAGCTCTGGTAGCGTAGTGGTTACGAATTGGGCTGTAAACCTCAAGGTCAGCAGTTCGAAACTACCAGCTGTTCCGCGGGAGAAAGATGAGGCATTCTGCTCCCGTAGAGATTTACAGCCTCAGAAACCCAGTACAGGGTCGCTATGAGTCAGAACCAACTCCACGCCAAATAACCACCACCAACTATAAGATAAACATTAGACTGTGAACCACAAGGTCAGCGGTTTGAGCTTACCAGCAAAACATGAGGTTTTCTGCTCCCCAAAAAGATCTAAAGCCTCAGAAACACTATGCAGTGTCATAACACATCACTTAACAACAATTATGCATTAATAAGAACAGTAAGTTACATTAATTGTAACAATTTAATGGTTACAATCATTAAATGTAGATTAAAAGTTGTAAAGATCTGCATTCAAAACTGTTCCAGTTTCACCAACATGGGAAGGACTGCTGTATTGTAGAGTGTAAGGCACTGTGCATTTTACATATGTTTAATCCTGAAAAAACATTCTGACAGGTATGCTACTATCCTCACTTTTCAAAAAAGGAAACCAGTTGAGAAAAGCCTGTCCAAGTCAGGATATGCCAGACTCATCATTTGAATCCAGGTTTGTCTGGCTCCAAAACCACATTCCTTGCTGTTAAAACTACCATTCCCTCTACACAGGGCTTTTCCTTTGTTTGACTAACCCTTCTTGGTCATTTTGCTTCAGTCTACATTAAGCAATACCTTTAGGGTAAAATCCTCTCTTGCAATAAATAATTCTAGTTTTCAAAGTTATTACTTCCTAGAAGCAGGAAATCAGGTTTAAAACGTTTTACGTTTTAAAGGGGGAAAAATTAAATATTCTTCTACTCACTATTTCCTCTTTTTAAGAACCAAACCCAAACCCACACACCTTGAATCAGTTCTGAACCATAGCCCTGCAGGACAACGTAGAACTGACCCACAGGGTTTCCAAAACTGTAAATCTTCATGGAAGCCAACTGCCTGCCGTATCTTTCCTCACAGCAGCTGGTGAGTTCAAACTCCACACAGTCCGTTAGCAGCCGAGTGCTTTAGATGCTGCACAACCAAGAGTCCATCTTTTAAAGGAACTCAATTCTTGGTTAAAAGATTCGTAAGCTTTTTTTATGTTTAGATCACAGCATGTTGTTGTTGTTAAGTGTTGTCAGTTTTTTCCGACTCAGCAACCCTGTAAAGGGTTTCAAAGGAGCAGCTGGTGGATTTGCTTTTCCTACAACGCCACAACATGATCACACCATAGGCGCTCCTATGGTGTGATTCCGCTGAGTATTTTTGTACAAGGTATTGAGAGAACTGACTAAAACTTTCTAAAAGTCGTGACATTTGAAGTACTAAACATTTCTTTTGTTTCTATTTCTGCCCCAAATATCCTGACATACGGTAGGCAGAAAAAAATCATCACTCTTAAGCAGCTAACGAACTTAGGACGCAACGACTAACCCAGAAGCCAGACAGCCGGATGCCTACTACTCTACAACAAACACATTTCATCTTTGGGCAAAACGAAAGATTTTGAAATGCTGGAGAGAGTACGCGGGAGAAGAAAGTCAAGTCTCCACCCCTCGTGTTAACCGCGCACCTTCCCCGCTGCAGTGTGGACAAAGTAACACAGCACGGAAGGAAAGCCCTGCTGGCTAACAGCATTCTTCGTTGAAAAAGTTGAATCGCTGTCTCCAGCAATGCCGGTCAGGGAACGTCTGTCTGCATTCAAATCCCCAGGAGGAAAACATTAGCCGCTGTCCCCAAAAAGGTGTTTTGGGTGCCAGTAGTTCCCTCGCGGCTCCTGGGCATGCACCCCCTGCTGCCCTGAACAAACGCCCGGACCTGCCTCTCCCACTGCACCGGCTCACCTCCTGGAGCGCCACCCACCGCGCCGGTCGGCCCCCAGCGCCCAGCACCCAGCAGAAAAAGGAGGAGGAGCGGACGGGGCCCGGGGCTGAGGATCACGGGCCTGAACCCCGGCGGCGGATCCACGGAAGACCCTTGCGCCGCCATTGCCCCGAACCCGCGGGCTGCCTCACCACCGTCGTGCTGGGAACGCGGGCTCCTGGGAAACAGAGCGAGGGGTGTGCGTCCGAACATATGTTGGGAAGACTCTAAGGAGCGGCCGATCAGCTCAGTTCCTCAGCTAGCGTTCCAACGCTGCAGCGAGCTCCACAGCCTCAGCCTCGAGGGTCAGAGCCGGTTCCTGACGCGTGCAGCCTCGCTCCGCCCGTCTGGCCTCATCCTCGTTCCCTGCCCGGCCCCGCCCCGGCCCCGCCCCCTGCCGGGGGCCTGCCTATATTTATAGTCCACGCGTGCAGCCTCGCTCCGCCAGTCTGGCCTCATCCCCGTTCCCTGCCCGGCCCCGCCCCCGCCCAGTTCCGTCCTGGCCCCGCCTCAGGTCTCACTTGGTTTCCTTTGAGCTCTACCTTTTCCATCCTGCCTCCGCCACCAGACTTTACACTTGGTACTAACTACAGACGGAAAAAAAGGAGTTATCTCAGCATCAGCAGTTCGAAATTACCAGCTGTTCGGCAGAAGAAAGATGAGGTTTTTCTGCTCCCGTAAAGATTTACAGCTTCGGAAACCCTGTAACACGGTCCCTTTGAGTCAGAACTGACTCCACGACACATAACAACTACAACAAACCACAAAGAAAAAGACCCAAGATGGAACGCCCTTTGTCAAATGCTTTGGGTACCTCTACTTAGGACCTATACCTAGTAAGTTGTGTGCCCACCATCCTACACGACAGAGTAGAATTGCCCCATAGGGTTTCCTAGGCTCTAATCTGTAGTCCCGGACTCCTGCTGTAGTGCTGTTGGTTAATGCGCCAGACTGCAAATTCGTTTGAACTGCAAGGTCGGCAGTTCAAGCTCACCAGCTGCTCCTCGAAAACCCAACACAAGGTCGCTATGGGTCGGAACTGACTAGACAGCACTTAACAACAACAACAACCTGTAGTCCCTGTTTGGTGCTGCGGGTTATTGTGCTGGGCTACAAGGTCGATTTGAACAGCAAAGTCGGCGGTTCAAGTTCACCCTATACAGGGTCGCCCTGAGTCGGAACTGACCAGAGGGTACTTAACAACAACAACAATCTTATATGGGACCTGATGTCAAGGATTTTTCTCCCGTATGCCCCTGGTGTGGCGCTGGAGGATAAGCACTGAACTGCTAACCACAAGATCAGCGGTTCAAAACCACCAGCCACTCCTTTGAAACCCTATACAGGGTCACCCTGAGTCGGAACTGACCAGAGGGTACTTAACAACAACAACGTAGCTGTTGGTGGCTTTGAGCCTCTCACTTTCCTGTTAGCAGGCGAGAGCTTAAACCATCGCACAATCATGGTCCCACCGTTAATTAGTGCTTATTCTATGCATGTGAAAGCTGGACAGTGAATAAGGAAGATCGTTGAAGAATAGATGCCTTTGAATTATGGTGTTGGAGGAGAATACTAAAAGTGCCATGGACTGCCAAAAGAACCAATAGATCTGTTTTGGAAGAAGTGCAGCCAGAGTGCTTCTTAGAGGCCAAGATGGCCAAATTTCGTCTCTCATACTTTGGACATATTGTCAGGTGGGAACAGTCGCTGGAGACGGATATCATGCTTGGTAAAATGGAGGATCAGAGAAAAAGAGGAAGACCCCCAACGAGGTGGATCAGCCAGGTGGCATCATTGATGAACTCAAGTGTGGCAGCGGTAGTGAGGTTGGCCCGGGATAGGACACTGTTTCGTTCTGCTGTGCATGGGGTCGCTATGAGTCGGTTCCGACTCGATGGCACCTAACAACAACAACAACTATGCTTAGAACCAAGCGGGGAACCAGACACCAGACAGAAAACAGTAAACGTAAGTCATTCCAAGTTATGGTAAGGGTGGCAACAGAGACAAAATAACGAGGCGGGGAGGACGCTTAATAGCCTGCAACTCTCTCCCCTTGGCCCCTCTGCCCACTAACTTCTTTGCTAGGAAGATCCCAGCCACTACTTGCTGCCTCACAAGGCTGTTGGTGGTTGGTTATGTGCCTTCAAATCGAGTTCTGGATAAGGACCCTGTGTAGGGTTTCCCAGGTTGTAAATCTCTACGCCAGCGGAAAGCCTCATCTTTCTTCCGCAGAGCCACTAGTAGATTCCATCCACTAGCTACCAGAGCTCCTACATGGCTACAAGGGGACTAAATAATCCGCATCAGGAAACCTGTGTTCAGACTAAAGAGCTACTCTGGGCAAGTCACCTTCCTCGTCCTTTAAAGGAGACCCATATACTAGAGAACAAGCAAGGTTCAACTCTGACACTCATTCTGCAGCCAAAACTACAGTGGCATCACTAGGATTGGTGTCACCCAGTATGGTAACTCATGGGGTCAGCTGCCCCCATGGGTCGCCTCTTGCACCAGACCTTAGTAATGCCTATTATCAATTGTAATCATAGAATAATATGTAATCTAGTTGTAAAGTCCTTAAATGTAATATTTCTTAAATTATGTCCTGGTGTGGAGCTGTAGAATAAACATGGGATTGCTAACCACAAGGTCTGTAGTTCAAACCCACCAACCACTCCATGGAAACCCTATACAGGGTCTCTATGAGTGGGAACTGACTCAGCGTCACCTAACAACAACATGAATACTAACAACAAAATTGTTCTGTAAATTCTTTCTACATTGAATTGTAAAATTACTAGTTAGACAATTATTAGTAACTGAACAGAAGCTTTTCTTGATGTTTCCCCTTTTCCTTTAATTACTACTTCACTCCCCAAAAAGTTATTGATGTTGTTGTTAAGTGCCATTGAGTCAGCTCCAATCCATAGTGATCCTGTGTAGGGTTTCTGAGGAGTGGCTGGTGAGTTTGAACTGCCTACCTTGCAGTTCAAACCAGTCGAGTGCTTATCCTACAGCACCATATACAATATTGTAGTTAAAACACCAGAAATTTTGACAAAAATCAGCAACTATTTCAACACCAGGGAAAATCCCAAGTCCTGCTTGTAGCTATTGGATAATAGTGGCAGCTCTAATTGGAATGCACTGTTGTTGTTGTTATGTGCCGTGGAGTCGATTTCGATTCACAGCGACCCTGTACAGGGTTTCTGAGGCTGTGAATCTTTATGAGAGCAAAAAGCCTTGGAGTGCATTAGAAGGCTCAAAAAGTAAATAGTATAGAGTTTCCGCCTTGTAGGTATGTTTTTGTTGTTATAATCTAACAAGGATGTCTTTATAGAAAATAAGAAATTTCTGCTGAAACACTGCACAAAATTTGTATAGTTATTGTGGTATTGGTATTACCTGGTACTGTTTGGCACGCCCCTACAATCTCCTATAGTGACGTCACTGTGAAGCCATCCATAGAAATTATATGCAACTGCCTCAAACATGGTTCTGTGCTGCCATCAATTAACATTTGTAAATATCAGTGATGGTCCTGCCACAAACACTTAGCAATTTCAGTGCTGAATGATGCCAAAGGGTAGAGTCTCATCTCAAATCCCTCTATGCCCTATATTTCATATCTCTGCTCATAATTGATTAGAAAGCTTTATTTGACTGAAGAGATTCAGGAAAATTATCCTTAAACTTCAGTGGCAGAGCGTGCTGAAGTTTCCCAGAAAGCCTCACAGATTTGACACCTCTTAAAACTCTAAGCAGAAATTTCACGCCAAGCTCCAGACGCGGTGAATCCATTTAAAAATTAAATCGGGTTTCAAAAGATCTGAATAAAATAATTCAGTTAAGACTTTTCCCAAAACTACATCTAAGCACAACCAGGAAAATAGAAACAGTATCTAATAAAGCCAGTCTGCTTAAACCAGATTTGAAGAAAGGGGCCACTCAGAAAACAGATGCTTAAATTGATATCTAAATTAGCAATTAATCACACCACTTCGGCACGGAAATCAAAGACAGTAGGTATGGTAATTTTATTTTTTATTGCAAATTTATATTTGAGTCTTAGGAATGTATGGATCATACAGATACATATAGGGACTCCTGGTGTTGCACTGGATAGGATAAACACTGGACTGCAAACCACAAGGCTGGTGGTTCAAACCCATCAGCTGCTCCACAGAAACCCTATACAGGGTCACTATGAGTTGGAACTGACTTAACAACACCATAGCTAAGGGGCCCTGGTGGTGCTATGGGTTAGGCATTGAGCCAGTAACCTACAAGGTCGGCAGTTCAAACACACCAGCAGCTATGCTGGAGAAAGATGAGACTGTTCCCATAAAGGTTTAGTCTCAGAAACCCTCTATAGGATCGCTATGAGTTGGAATTGACTCAGTGGCAATGGTTTTGGTTTTCTTTTTGTTGTTACAGACATTTATGCAATTCTCCAAACAATGTCGGGAGAAAGTGAAGTATCAGTCTACTTGTACAGTTAGGGGATTTGAAACAGAGTGGTTCAATCACTGTTGAAGGTCACAATACCTATCAGTGGCAAAACTAGAAATAAATGGTCGTTAGCTGGTAGCGTAGTGGTTACGAATCGGGCTGTGAACCGCAAGGTCAGCAGTTCGAAACTACCAGCTGCTTCGCAGGAGAAAGATGAGGCTTTCTGCTCCCGTAAAGATTGACAGCTTTGGAACCCCTGTACAGGGTCACTATGGGTCGGAACCGACTCGATGGCACTAACAGCAACAACAAGAAACTCAGCCACAGCAAGGGTAATTGGCTTATCGATAACCAGAGGACTCACGGTGTGGCGCTGTAGGATCTGCACTGGACTGGGAACCACAAGGTTGGCAATTCAAACCCACCAGCTGCTCCTCGGAAACCCTGTACAGGGTCGCTATGAGCCGGAACCAACTCCACACCACCACAACAATAAATAACCATAGAAACAATAGCTATTTCCAAAATCTGTGCTAAATACACTACTGGCTGCTGTTGGTTTTAAGTGAAAGGCAAAGTGTGTAATTTGTTGAGCACTTTAAAATCCAAGCAAATCATCATAGAATACAATGATGTATGCATCTTGGCAGGCTTTTTCTAGAAAGCTCTGCCAATTACTAATGGTTGCTGGATACGGTTACTGCACCTGACTCTGATGACAGGAATCTTCACACTGCTAGGAGAGACACTGGCTCATCAAATGACAACAAAACTATCACCATTGCTGCAACTAACCCCTACCTACAAAATTCTCCTAACGTAGCATCTGGTCTACCACCTTTCTGAGATTTAACCAGAGGAGGGTCATAGCGTCTTCACAAGGCACGAGCATCCCAGAAACCATTTTCCTCTGAAGATTGTGGAACTCTTATTATACTCTTGTCTTGGCTCATTCTTCTCCTTCTCGGAATATCAAAATCTATCCTTTCTTCAAAGCTCACCTCCACTGCTAGTTGCTCTATACACCCCACACTGACCACAGCCTTCTCCCTTCTCTGAACTCCCAGAAGTCCTTAGTTTCCTTTATCTCATAGCATTT